TATGTAAAAGCATGAGAACGTCTATATAGACGCATAGTATGACTGACTTTCTAATAGAAGTATTCCTCCGTTGGAAATTTACTTTAGTAGTTGTACCCTGGATTTTTATTTTAGCTGCACAAAATCGGTAGAGTTATACTTATGGTTCTTTTCACTACAAATATTGTTGGAAACTTGTCAGTTTTTATTGTCATGTGGAGAACCGGAAGGAAAAAACGAATGCGATTCTTCATTATGAACCTTGCGGTGACAGGTACCGTAAATTTGTCCTAGTATCGGTTCTGATTAGATGCTTCTACTAACTTTCGCGAGCTGAACTTCACTGTTAAGTGAAAGTGGTTTGCCTTCTAAAGCATTGCTTTTGATTAGTTCATTTATTTTGTTTATATTCATATGAGTATATGTTCGAAAATTAGGCCTGCACGAACAATGCCGGAAAACTTTGATGATAGTGGCATCAAAAGGGTGTGTTAGTCATCAAAAAGGCAACAATGGACGCAAATGTGGTCCAATGGTAATTTTGACTGTAGGGGAGATAATATTGCTTGAGTCATTTGCAAGAATTTACTTCCTGTAAATTTTGCCAAATTGTGGTGTAACAAATCCAATTTTCTTTAATAACTGCATTTATGGCATCTGACACGATTTGCCTCTGAAATAAACATATTTCATTAATTTACTTGCTATCGAATGTTAGATTGATTTAAGAAATCCCACGTTGTTTTATTTACAAGAAAGCATTTCTCGTATTAATGCAGCAAAAAATTTCAGGCAAGACTGTTTAGAATATTTTATTAGCAACTTCCTAGTTTTTATCTTAGTGGCTATCGAGCCTGACCTTTTAACTTAAATGCTGTAAACCTTTCCCTTTATCTTCAATAGAGGTGCTTATAATGACAGATATTTAAAAAGTAACTATAGTCGATTTCTTGTGTCATTAACTAAGAGGTCAAAATTATAATATGGCAGGGAAGACAAGCTCAGCACATTAATAATATGTAGGAATCTGGGATAAGTTAATCGCGTATGTCGCTTGGCACCGCTTGTCAATAACAATCACACCATTTTTAGATCTCTTCGTTGCCATTGGTGGGATTTTACCCGAACTGATATGGAATTTAACAGTGAACTTCTGTGCTCCAGATATTATTTGTCGACTGGTGAAGTATATGTCCGTAAGTATTCCAACAACCATAAGGCATTTACGGGCAAACTTGTGTTAAAATCCGCTATGGAGAGACTGTGCACCAAAGTTGTACCTTTTACATGCTTACGGTCGTTTGACACTAAGCTCGGCGTGTCTAGAAAATCATTAGATAGTCAGGTCTTGAAAAGAACAAATAGTTTCTACTTAGACGATCATATTTATTTGCATTTACTAAAAACACTTTAACGTGGAATGCTCCTGGCTGAACTTCGGGTACATGCAAGATGTGGGTCAACTACACTTTTACCGGTGCAATGCCAATGCAAACACATTTTCTTGTGCTCGAAGACGCCTTTATTTTGAAGTAGTTGTCTTGTGGGTAAGCCTAGACCTGACAAATATTTGATTATTTCCTTATTGCAGGACTCGTTTTATTGTTTCCTAACTCAAATTTATTCAATATTCAAGGACTTTAGCTAAAAATGCATAAAAGTATATTAATATTTTGCAAGAACTTAACGAAATAAACTAGTTTTGTGCGCTAACGAGAAACTTTTGGTGTGCCAAAATATCATGCTTTTGTTGCGTTTCAAATTTTTAGACTTCATTTATCTACAAAGTCCCATTTAATATAACCAAAAGTTCATTTTGCACAAGAAGGGAAATTATCATAACCTTTTCTCAACAGTTCTCAAATTGAAATAATTGACACCCATGCTGCTTATCGGAAATGTCAAATATAAATCCAGTAATATAATATGCAAAATCGAGGTATAGCTCACCAAAATCTGGATTTCCTTAGAAGTTCTTTATATGTAACTGCTCCGGTAAGAGAAAATCGACCATGCTAAAACATGGTAGAAATCATAGTTGTATGCTGGTAGGATTACAGAGGGACTAAAGCACTTAATCCACTTTTACACAAGTAAAAGTGTCAAAAAAGGGTCCGATACTGAAATAAAATTATTTTAGGTGGAACAGTTTGACGGGACTATCAGATGCGCCAACCCCTTCTTCCCCCCACCGCCTTCGAATAACAGCAATCAAATATTTGTTTGTAGAAGTTGGAAAACGACTACAGGGGATATAACACTTGTTACTGTTCATTCGAAGATAACCTTAAGATGTAATTTAGCTTTAAAACATTGATGAGTTGCTTCTAAGGCGCATGTCAGTCACTAGTATTAATAATACAAGTGAAACTGTATACTACTTTGTACTCCGGTAGTTTTAAACAATACCTAAACCTGACCTGAAAGGTGAAGAAAAATACTGGGTAGTTTCCTTTCCACTAGAGTCGCAAGACAATTAGTCAAAATGGGGGTTGCACTCTGTTTTTATTGAAACAAACCTCTTAGAATGAGGATTTTTATTATTGAATCAATTCAAAATCACTATCTTAATGTACTTCAGTGAAATGCTAGCAATCCCTTATGTCTTACCCTTCAGCAGCTCTATTATTAGATTCGTGTAGGGCTCAAAAGGAATGAATGAAGCAATTTGTTTTACATGAATCAATTTTCTGCTTACCCAAGGCGACAGCGACTTATGCGAGCTCCTTCGCGCTCGTTGTACTAAGCTTTGATAGAGCCGAAGCAGTTATAAACCCTCTCCGATCAACAAAGAAGACCTGTTTTGGAGGTGAGCCCTTCGCTTCAATAGTTTGTTCAAACTAATAATTCCCTTTATTCGTAAATGATTCTTGTAATTATATTAATTTTCAAAGTGTCACATTTACCAACTAAATATTTTTATCTTGTACATATCTACCAGGGTAACAAAATCATCGTCAGTTAGTTTACGGTCTGGCTCCCAATAGTTGCAATCCGTGGCCATATTTCTTTAAAGAAATTGCTATAATTGCTTTGCACGCAATCGTTGAGCATGACTATGAATAAATGGCGATTAAACTAACATTTCATTTACTTTCTAAAACCTTTGTCACTTCACCCTAGTCTTCAAAAAATGTAACTACTAATAAAGGCTTAGCTGAACTTGCATGCCAGCAAATAGTGCAAACAAGTTAAAGATCTGAAAGTGTGCAACAGAAGTGCAAAAATACACGTGTTTCCATGACTGATCCAAATATGATTTACTAGAAGGTGGAGAACAACTTTTACAAGTTTAAGATGGATTTTGCTGGGTAGAACACTTAAAAAGGTGTCTCATTCTTTTAGCAATGCGTCGTAGAGATTTGGTTATATGCGGATGGGTGGCAGCGTGCATTTGCGGACTTCCGGGTCTGATTTTGGCCCACCTTAAGGTCACCTCACAGCACGGCCCTAATTGCTACATGAACTTCCAACTTGTCTCTCCTAGGGTAAGAAATGAACCCAATTTGCGATTATTTATTCACGCCGCTTTAACAAAATGCATTGTCTGGTGATAAATTTATATAAATCTAAGCAAAGCGCATTTAAGTCATTTAGGTCCGTAAAGCATTATGTTGCCTGCTTCACAATGGCTCCTTTTGATTTACAGTTCCATCCCAGTCCATTTTACTTTTAGCATCGGATCATACATGTGAACCTATTTACGGTTGGTCACCAATTTTATTTCAGTAGCATGTTCATCAAAAAATAATTGAATAATTAAGTACATCAACACTCATGAGTGATTTCTATATTGTAGGCACCCTTATAAAGTTAGCTGGTGTCAAAGTGAGAAATTGGAGCAAGTCCAAACAGGTACTGAAAAGTGATTCCATACAGAGGTGTCTTATATGAGGTTCTTATATGAACCTCAGTCCGGGGTTCCATTAAATAAATATTTACGTAAAATAATTGCTAGAGTAAATCGTGTAAATCGGAAAAACTATGTTATTCATCCAAAATTAGTTATTAAAAGTCATCATGAATACGTGCTGGCGTTTCGCGATTAAAATCTAAATTTTGTACAAAATCCCAAAAAAATCGGTTTTTAAAATTCCCCACTCCTACGGTTTTAGGTGACTTAATAAAGACCTGAGATCGCTGCCTACCTTAATGCATGAGAGTTACTTTTCTGCTGTGGAAATTTAAATTGCCTTAATTTGACAAAAATAGCATAAAAATATTTAATGTGGACAAAAACATCCTCCACTGCCTTCTACCAGTAGCTCCTTTTCAAAATAATTCCGGTCATATATTAAGCCAAGTTGTGCCTGTGCCATTTTTTGTTGAAACGAAACTTATGCGGCGACTGAAAATGGTAGTTAGCAGCACATTAAACTGTTTGCTTGCTCCTCATCCTCGCTCAGTTACCTTCCATCGCACTCCACAACACCTTAGAAGATGTTTGATACAATGATAAGAAAATCGGTGCATTACATAGGGGTTTAAGGCAAATTTTTGATTATTCATGCCTATTGGCGCAGAACGAAGCCCGAACATTCTAAGAGCACGGATAAGTAAGTGCAAAAATCTCCTTCGTCAATCCTCTTAAGGGTTGTAATTTGTGAAATAAAGAAAGTAATTTCCTTCCAACATTCCGTCGTTCAAAAAAACGCCGCATTCCACCCTAAGCACGTAGGAGTTAGAACAGACGAATGGTTTCGCCGGCCGAAAAAATCCTTCTAATAGACAAAATTGAACAGCAGAAGTCAAACTTTGGTATGTGAACACACTATCCGGCTGGTCATAAAGAAAGTGCTTAAATAAAAAGATTTCAATGTCTAGGCAAACGGGAAGTAATAAAGCTGTGAAGAGCGGTAAGAAAGTATCCAAGCAGACGGTTAATATAGCATTTACCACAACCCAAAATTTGCTACAATAGTTGAACACCTTTTCTTAATTATTCCACCTACAAGGTCACATCGCATATTTTTACAGCCTTGAGCTGAAAAATAAATCAAGATGAGAATGTTACTCTCTAAATGGAAGGTATTAATTTTCCCTTGCTTGGCCATTGGTCAATTATTCGACCAATAAGAGCTTCGTTTTCTACACAAAAGAATGTCATTCATCTCTTTTGCAAAATCGTAGGCCTAATCACCATCTGCATGCCAATTACTCGCTTATCAGGACATATGGAATATCTGCTCCAATTTGTGGTGATAATGACAAATTCGGCAAATGATAACGCCCAATTTGTTCCACATATAAAACTAGGACTCACAAGTAACGTGACTTTTGATAAGGATACTTCAACCTTAAACATAACTGCTTTGGCAGGCAATGAAAATGAGGTACCTTTCTTCCTCTTTTTAATACTTTTGACGGATATTAATAAGGGCCTAACACTAATATATTGGGTTGATATTTTGAGCTAAATGTTCTTTTAGAACCAAGGTGTGATCAGTAGATGCAAAGAACTTTTAGAATGCCTATTTTATAAGTTCAGTTATTATTTAATTTTTTTGTTCATAAATATAAGTCAGAATTCTGAGTATCTTAAATATTTCCTATGTAAAAGCATGAGAACGTCTATATAGACGCATAGTATGACTGACTTTCTAATAGAAGTATTCCTCCGTTGGAAATTTACTTTAGTAGTTGTACCCTGGATTTTTATTTTAGCTGCACAAAATCGGTAGAGTTATACTTATGGTTCTTTTCACTACAAATATTGTTGGAAACTTGTCAGTTTTTATTGTCATGTGGAGAACCGGAAGGAAAAAACGAATGCGATTCTTCATTATGAACCTTGCGGTGACAGGTACCGTAAATTTGTCCTAGTATCGGTTCTGATTAGATGCTTCTACTAACTTTCGCGAGCTGAACTTCACTGTTAAGTGAAAGTGGTTTGCCTTCTAAAGCATTGCTTTTGATTAGTTCATTTATTTTGTTTATATTCATATGAGTATATGTTCGAAAATTAGGCCTGCACGAACAATGCCGGAAAACTTTGATGATAGTGGCATCAAAAGGGTGTGTTAGTCATCAAAAAGGCAACAATGGACGCAAATGTGGTCCAATGGTAATTTTGACTGTAGGGGAGATAATATTGCTTGAGTCATTTGCAAGAATTTACTTCCTGTAAATTTTGCCAAATTGTGGTGTAACAAATCCAATTTTCTTTAATAACTGCATTTATGGCATCTGACACGATTTGCCTCTGAAATAAACATATTTCATTAATTTACTTGCTATCGAATGTTAGATTGATTTAAGAAATCCCACGTTGTTTTATTTACAAGAAAGCATTTCTCGTATTAATGCAGCAAAAAATTTCAGGCAAGACTGTTTAGAATATTTTATTAGCAACTTCCTAGTTTTTATCTTAGTGGCTATCGAGCCTGACCTTTTAACTTAAATGCTGTAAACCTTTCCCTTTATCTTCAATAGAGGTGCTTATAATGACAGATATTTAAAAAGTAACTATAGTCGATTTCTTGTGTCATTAACTAAGAGGTCAAAATTATAATATGGCAGGGAAGACAAGCTCAGCACATTAATAATATGTAGGAATCTGGGATAAGTTAATCGCGTATGTCGCTTGGCACCGCTTGTCAATAACAATCACACCATTTTTAGATCTCTTCGTTGCCATTGGTGGGATTTTACCCGAACTGATATGGAATTTAACAGTGAACTTCTGTGCTCCAGATATTATTTGTCGACTGGTGAAGTATATGTCCGTAAGTATTCCAACAACCATAAGGCATTTACGGGCAAACTTGTGTTAAAATCCGCTATGGAGAGACTGTGCACCAAAGTTGTACCTTTTACATGCTTACGGTCGTTTGACACTAAGCTCGGCGTGTCTAGAAAATCATTAGATAGTCAGGTCTTGAAAAGAACAAATAGTTTCTACTTAGACGATCATATTTATTTGCATTTACTAAAAACACTTTAACGTGGAATGCTCCTGGCTGAACTTCGGGTACATGCAAGATGTGGGTCAACTACACTTTTACCGGTGCAATGCCAATGCAAACACATTTTCTTGTGCTCGAAGACGCCTTTATTTTGAAGTAGTTGTCTTGTGGGTAAGCCTAGACCTGACAAATATTTGATTATTTCCTTATTGCAGGACTCGTTTTATTGTTTCCTAACTCAAATTTATTCAATATTCAAGGACTTTAGCTAAAAATGCATAAAAGTATATTAATATTTTGCAAGAACTTAACGAAATAAACTAGTTTTGTGCGCTAACGAGAAACTTTTGGTGTGCCAAAATATCATGCTTTTGTTGCGTTTCAAATTTTTAGACTTCATTTATCTACAAAGTCCCATTTAATATAACCAAAAGTTCATTTTGCACAAGAAGGGAAATTATCATAACCTTTTCTCAACAGTTCTCAAATTGAAATAATTGACACCCATGCTGCTTATCGGAAATGTCAAATATAAATCCAGTAATATAATATGCAAAATCGAGGTATAGCTCACCAAAATCTGGATTTCCTTAGAAGTTCTTTATATGTAACTGCTCCGGTAAGAGAAAATCGACCATGCTAAAACATGGTAGAAATCATAGTTGTATGCTGGTAGGATTACAGAGGGACTAAAGCACTTAATCCACTTTTACACAAGTAAAAGTGTCAAAAAAGGGTCCGATACTGAAATAAAATTATTTTAGGTGGAACAGTTTGACGGGACTATCAGATGCGCCAACCCCTTCTTCCCCCCACCGCCTTCGAATAACAGCAATCAAATATTTGTTTGTAGAAGTTGGAAAACGACTACAGGGGATATAACACTTGTTACTGTTCATTCGAAGATAACCTTAAGATGTAATTTAGCTTTAAAACATTGATGAGTTGCTTCTAAGGCGCATGTCAGTCACTAGTATTAATAATACAAGTGAAACTGTATACTACTTTGTACTCCGGTAGTTTTAAACAATACCTAAACCTGACCTGAAAGGTGAAGAAAAATACTGGGTAGTTTCCTTTCCACTAGAGTCGCAAGACAATTAGTCAAAATGGGGGTTGCACTCTGTTTTTATTGAAACAAACCTCTTAGAATGAGGATTTTTATTATTGAATCAATTCAAAATCACTATCTTAATGTACTTCAGTGAAATGCTAGCAATCCCTTATGTCTTACCCTTCAGCAGCTCTATTATTAGATTCGTGTAGGGCTCAAAAGGAATGAATGAAGCAATTTGTTTTACATGAATCAATTTTCTGCTTACCCAAGGCGACAGCGACTTATGCGAGCTCCTTCGCGCTCGTTGTACTAAGCTTTGATAGAGCCGAAGCAGTTATAAACCCTCTCCGATCAACAAAGAAGACCTGTTTTGGAGGTGAGCCCTTCGCTTCAATAGTTTGTTCAAACTAATAATTCCCTTTATTCGTAAATGATTCTTGTAATTATATTAATTTTCAAAGTGTCACATTTACCAACTAAATATTTTTATCTTGTACATATCTACCAGGGTAACAAAATCATCGTCAGTTAGTTTACGGTCTGGCTCCCAATAGTTGCAATCCGTGGCCATATTTCTTTAAAGAAATTGCTATAATTGCTTTGCACGCAATCGTTGAGCATGACTATGAATAAATGGCGATTAAACTAACATTTCATTTACTTTCTAAAACCTTTGTCACTTCACCCTAGTCTTCAAAAAATGTAACTACTAATAAAGGCTTAGCTGAACTTGCATGCCAGCAAATAGTGCAAACAAGTTAAAGATCTGAAAGTGTGCAACAGAAGTGCAAAAATACACGTGTTTCCATGACTGATCCAAATATGATTTACTAGAAGGTGGAGAACAACTTTTACAAGTTTAAGATGGATTTTGCTGGGTAGAACACTTAAAAAGGTGTCTCATTCTTTTAGCAATGCGTCGTAGAGATTTGGTTATATGCGGATGGGTGGCAGCGTGCATTTGCGGACTTCCGGGTCTGATTTTGGCCCACCTTAAGGTCACCTCACAGCACGGCCCTAATTGCTACATGAACTTCCAACTTGTCTCTCCTAGGGTAAGAAATGAACCCAATTTGCGATTATTTATTCACGCCGCTTTAACAAAATGCATTGTCTGGTGATAAATTTATATAAATCTAAGCAAAGCGCATTTAAGTCATTTAGGTCCGTAAAGCATTATGTTGCCTGCTTCACAATGGCTCCTTTTGATTTACAGTTCCATCCCAGTCCATTTTACTTTTAGCATCGGATCATACATGTGAACCTATTTACGGTTGGTCACCAATTTTATTTCAGTAGCATGTTCATCAAAAAATAATTGAATAATTAAGTACATCAACACTCATGAGTGATTTCTATATTGTAGGCACCCTTATAAAGTTAGCTGGTGTCAAAGTGAGAAATTGGAGCAAGTCCAAACAGGTACTGAAAAGTGATTCCATACAGAGGTGTCTTATATGAGGTTCTTATATGAACCTCAGTCCGGGGTTCCATTAAATAAATATTTACGTAAAATAATTGCTAGAGTAAATCGTGTAAATCGGAAAAACTATGTTATTCATCCAAAATTAGTTATTAAAAGTCATCATGAATACGTGCTGGCGTTTCGCGATTAAAATCTAAATTTTGTACAAAATCCCAAAAAAATCGGTTTTTAAAATTCCCCACTCCTACGGTTTTAGGTGACTTAATAAAGACCTGAGATCGCTGCCTACCTTAATGCATGAGAGTTACTTTTCTGCTGTGGAAATTTAAATTGCCTTAATTTGACAAAAATAGCATAAAAATATTTAATGTGGACAAAAACATCCTCCACTGCCTTCTACCAGTAGCTCCTTTTCAAAATAATTCCGGTCATATATTAAGCCAAGTTGTGCCTGTGCCATTTTTTGTTGAAACGAAACTTATGCGGCGACTGAAAATGGTAGTTAGCAGCACATTAAACTGTTTGCTTGCTCCTCATCCTCGCTCAGTTACCTTCCATCGCACTCCACAACACCTTAGAAGATGTTTGATACAATGATAAGAAAATCGGTGCATTACATAGGGGTTTAAGGCAAATTTTTGATTATTCATGCCTATTGGCGCAGAACGAAGCCCGAACATTCTAAGAGCACGGATAAGTAAGTGCAAAAATCTCCTTCGTCAATCCTCTTAAGGGTTGTAATTTGTGAAATAAAGAAAGTAATTTCCTTCCAACATTCCGTCGTTCAAAAAAACGCCGCATTCCACCCTAAGCACGTAGGAGTTAGAACAGACGAATGGTTTCGCCGGCCGAAAAAATCCTTCTAATAGACAAAATTGAACAGCAGAAGTCAAACTTTGGTATGTGAACACACTATCCGGCTGGTCATAAAGAAAGTGCTTAAATAAAAAGATTTCAATGTCTAGGCAAACGGGAAGTAATAAAGCTGTGAAGAGCGGTAAGAAAGTATCCAAGCAGACGGTTAATATAGCATTTACCACAACCCAAAATTTGCTACAATAGTTGCAATTAACATTTTTCTGAAAGATTAATCAATTTCTACAATTTTAAAGGTTTATTAGGTCCAAACGACAAAATAAAATTATTAGAAGCTAATAGAATATAAGTTGGATATGAGTGAAAAATAAAAAGTGGT